CTCTAACCTTTCCCCCTAGGAGACTCCGGGGTCACAAAGCCCAAACACTTCACACATTTGGAAATCATGTGCCAGAACCACTGAGACTTGAGACTGCAGGTGGCTGCTGGGATGGGGCAGGCACTGGGCTGATCATCCATGTGTCAGGTTGGGGGAGGAAGTCTAAGCAGGAGACTAGTGCATAGAATCCGTTACCATGGAGACAGGTGGACGCTCCTGCCCGTCGGCGAAGTCCAGCGAGTGGTAGGGAGGCGGTGGCTATTCCAGCCAGCTGGGGATTTCAGGTGACCACGCAGCAGCCATCTTGGCTTCAGAGAGGACCCATGCCCAGGGCAGAGGCAGTGCTCAGGAGGCAGGTTTGAGTCCTCATAACATTCTGGTTAAGGATGGGGAGATGAGGAGCTCAACCCAGTCCTGGCCCCACCACTTACTATTGTAACTCATGGCCCTGACCAAGTTATTTAATCTCTGGAAACTCCAACTTTGGTAAAGTCTATAAAAAGCAAGATATTGCCTACCTTGTAGGGTCATTGTGATGTTAAAAATAAAGTACTTAGCACGTGCCTGAGCCACACTAAGAACACAAGGGAAAGCTTTTTTTTTTTTTTAATGGTTATTAGGGTTATGCTTAGAACAAAGTGGGGATTTGCTTATAGGAACAAGGAGTTTAGATACGCAATCAATACAAGACCAGAAGAATGATGATAACGACATGATATTTCGCTTTCTTGGAACACCCCTGGCTAGGGGTCAGGATGCATATATCTTTTGGAATAGAGCTGAATTTGCATGTGGGTCTGCTGGGGTCTTTGGGAATGAGAGAGTAACTAGGACTGGCAACTAGATGGGGTATTACTCTTACTTTAATTATGCAAATGAATTCACATGGCGCCTTGCCTCACCCATGATCCTTCCCAAGCTCTTTCAGAGATACGAACCCGTCATGTGAACTTTGTCCCAGATTTGTTACCACAGAGGCATCATCTGTAAGGAAGAGTTTTATGATGAATCTCACATCCTAGAGTTTATGAAATTGTTGTCTGTTGCACAATCGAGAATGTCACGTATGACATTTATTATGAATGGGAAAACTGCTGCTTTTCATCCCGTGAGGATGTCACTATTTTCTTCCAATTCTCCTGACCTTGAAGCCCACTGCGCTGTGTCCCCCAACGCTTGCTGCTCCAGACCCTTTCCTATCTCAGCCTCCACCTGAAGACATTCCAGCTCTGGGGCTTTCAGGCCTTGCTTGGGGGCTAGTCAGCTGATAAGATGATGACATCTCACTCTCATGTAGCTCATTATCATTTACAAAGAGCTTTGCCCCTTTGGTTTCATTTATATGTCCCTCCTCAAATATGTTCTCCTATTCCATAGGTTGTCTGCATTTTGTTGATTGTTTCTTTCACTGTGCAGAAGCTGTTTAGCTTCATGTAGTTCCACTTGTTTATTTTTGCTTTTGTGGCCTGTGCTTTGGGTGTCATATCCATAAAATAATTGCCAAGACCAATGTCAAGGAGCTTTTTCCCTATGTTTTCTTCTAGAAGTTTTATGGTTTCAGGCCTTACATTTAAGTCTTCAATCCATTTGAAGTTAATTTTTTGAGTGGTTAGTGTCTACTTTCATTTTTTTTTGATGTGAATATCCAGTTTTCCCAGCATCATTTAATGAAGAAACTAAGATTTCCTCAATTTTTTTTCTCTTCATCTTTTCTACATTTTCCATCTTCTCTTTATTGAGTATTCTTTGTCCCCTTGTCAAATATCAGTTGCCGGGATTGACTCCCAGTTGCCACAGTTACTTTCTGGTTGAACCCCAGCAAGTTTCCTAAACTCTTTGTGCCTCAGTTTTCATGTCTTTAAAGTGGAAATATTAGTAACAATTCATAAGGTTCTTGTAAGCTTTATATGAATTAATGCACGTATAATATTCAGACCTGGCATGTAATAATGTTTTAATAAACATTGGTTTAAAACACACACACAGAGTGGAAAGAAAAAATATTGATAAGTAAGTGAATGTGCATGTGGGTGGGTGTTTATTTCTTGGTGTGGGAGGTAGAGTAAAGTAGAAGACAGAATCTGAAATAAATTTGGTTTGCGGACTTAATGACCCTACAGATAATTGATACCTTTGACCAAGCCAGGGAGCAGGGAAGCTAGAATAAAACTGAGAAGGTGGGCCAATCTTTAATTCAAGTTTGTATCTGGTCATTTCGAAATGGTGATGGGCATCTAATGGTAGGCGAGGAGGATGGAATTTTCAGAGCTAGAATTTATGGTTTAAGAATTATTAGCCTACAAGTATTAAAAATAATAATACTATTTATCGAAAGCTATGAGCACTGTGCTAAATTTCTTGTATATGTTATTTCACTTAATCCTCTCAGCATCCATAGGAGATAGGTACTCTGATTAGCTACATCTCACAGCTGGGGAGAAGTGAGGCACAGAGCAGAGAAGTAACTTGTCCCAGGTCACTTGATTAAGTGGCCAGGAAGGGTTTGACTCCAGGTAGTTTTGTTCTGGGGCCTATCGTCTTCCTCCTCCCACCCCCCACCCCACCCCCCGCTCCTCCTCCTTTGGTCTGTCTCCAAGGCAAACTTTGAAGCTATGAGGTTGGCCAAGAGAGCATGGTGAGAAAGAGGATGTGTCCAGTAGGGATGTTTTAGACCAAATCATTCATACCCTTTCACTCGGCCTTCTCATTACCAACTAGTAAGAGCTCAGTACATGTTGGGTGAGTGAATGAATGATTGGATATTAGAGGTTCAGGCTTTGTGACCATAAAGTCGAGGCAGGTTAATTGGCTCAGGCTAGGGTTCCCCCGCCAAGCCTGTCCTGGCAACAAGACCCCCCTAACAGAGTTCACGAAGAAAATCTGGGTGATGGCTCAAAAACAGGCTCCCAATGGCCAGCTGCGACCTGCTGCACAGGATCGGGGTCAGCCTGGCACGCTTGTTTTCAGTAAATGCCTGGGAGGTCCCGATAGGCAGCCCTGGTGTTACCTACCTCACTGACCCACCGACGACGCCTGGGGTTGAAGCGTGTGCCATTTTTCTTACATAAAGTGCAGCTGTAAAGAAATGATGTCAGTTTTCAGGTGTGTGTCCTAACCCAGCGATGAAGGTGATTTTAAAAGAGGAATTCCCGAAATACTTAGAGCAATCGCTGGATCGCTGAGGTAATTACACAGCCTCCCCAAGTGACTGTTTTGTCGGGAAATGTTCGTTTGGATTTGTCGTTTTTGGTGTGCTTAATAAAGGCCACTTTCGTTCCTGAAAGAGCCTCCTCACTTCATAAATGTGTTTTTTTCTGGGAGAAAAGGAAAGCGTAGCGGAGCATCCATCTGACATGTATCCCTCACTTTACTGTTACTCTCTGTGTTTGCAGAGGAATCAGTCATTTGGGTCATTTTCTGAGCTCCATGGACCATCAACATCCCTGCTTGTATTTGGGTTGTTCACAGCGCTTTGACCTTGACAGAGAACAGCTCTCCATTGATGCCAGGTATTGTTATGACATGGTGGAGCCCTTGATAAATGGCGGGGGAGGACCCGCCTAACCTCAGTGCTCTGCACTGACTTCCGTTAGAACTCGATAGAACGTTCTCAGAATATCATGTGACCTACGGAGACTCTCAATCCAGGCAGTGATCAGCGTTGTCTTATGAAGGGCTTGCTGACTTTTTTGTGCCTCCGCTTGGTCTGGTTTGGGTAGATGGAAAATAGTTTCCTGGCCTGATATGTTACGTCTTGGTCGGCGCAGTTCACTCATAATTATCCACATTTGTATGAGGTTTCACAGATACTCTCAGAAATATCTACCCTACGTGCTTTATCCCACAATAATTACACAGAAAATTAAGAATCAATTCCAGTTTAACGGTCTTTTTGCTTACCCAATGTTCTGCTCTACTCACAGGTCTAATTGCTTTAGTTGTCATTTTACTTTTCTGTGAGGTGGGGTCTTGCAGTCTGTTCATTAGATCCTTGTAAGGGATAACTGGGATTGGGAAAGATACCCCTAAAGGGAGCCTAACTGTGGAGAAGAAGCTGTCGTTTGAACTTCTTCTATAGCGCGTTTCTCCTTGGCGGTTCAGTCATTCCTTATTGAACTCCTGTGCTGTGCAGGCTGTCTCCTAGGTGGTGAGGGTATTACTGTGGGGAAAGAAGTAGGCAGGTAATGCCCTCCCCGCATAGAGTGTGCAGACACAGTGAGTGAGGCAGGCAGTAAGCAAAATGCATGATGAAATTATGAAGCATATTAGAAGCTGTTAAGCACTGTGGGGAAAACAAAGCAAGCACGCAGGGTGGGAGGAGGGCTGGCCTGGGGAGAAGGTGGTGTTTCGGTCAAAATCAGGTGCCCAGGGGGGTCCTGTCTGTGAGGGCGGCCCCTGAACAAAGCCTTGGAGGAGGTGAGGCATGCCATGCAGCATTTATTGAATGGCATTCCCTAGGACATTTGTCCTGGGAAATGCCGAGCTGAAAAAGAGTTTCACTGTTCAATACATTTGGAAATAATAACTTTTAGACATTTACAGTGCTTGTTAGTGTCGTAAATAATTGGAAAAGGCCTGCTGGAAAGAAACCTGTTTAACTCAAACGTATATCCCTCTCTCCCTCCTTCTCTCTCTTTCTCCCCCTCTCTCTTCCTCCCTCCTTCTCTCCCTCCCTGTCTCCCTTTCTTCCTTCTTCACTGACATTCCCATGGCAGCTAGACCATAGCTCTGTACCAGACTTCAGAAGTGGCCAGGACCCTGCTGAGTAACGATCAGTAGGGCTTCTGAGGTAGAAGGGCCCGGAAGGCGCACCTTTCCTGGAACCCTGGACCTAAGTGTGACACCCCAATCTTCCACTTTGTCCCTGAGCGAGTAGAACTTTCCTTATTTTGGGTTTTATTATCTACAGGCTGGGCATAATAATAATGCCAAGTATGCCAGGGTGGTTGAAGATTAAATAAAATCAGGTGCTAAAGCACTTTCTAAATTGTAAAGTATACACATACAGGTGACTGATGTGCTTTTTTTTAACCTGCTTTTTTGGTACTTGGGATGAGTCAGTCCACTGTTATCACCCTGTCCCGGGGTCATTTCTAAAGAGCTTCCCAAAGGAGGGTTGAAGGAGATGGCATAGGCACCCTGGGTGTGTGAAAGAGTAAACAGCTGGCCTGTTCTGGACGAGAGCCCAAGACTGGGGCCTTCTTAGCATCAGGCTCGAGCTGGACAATTTGACGAGCCACTGGCCCATTTCTCTACGTTAGCCAGTGGCTCCCAAACTCTGGTGCGCCCTTGCAATAACTTGGGATATTTTTGTTTGTTTGTTTGTTTTTTAAGTACTGTTGTGTGGCTCCAGCCCCCAGACATTCTAACCTAACTGCTCTGGGGAATGAGTTGAGTATGAGGATTTTAAAAAGCTTTCCCAATGATTCCAGGGTGAAGTGTGAAGACCACTGGCATAAGCTTATCTCTGGGATCCTCTTTTTTAGCAGCCTGGCCAAGAGAAAAGCTTACCAGTTGATTGTGGTTTATAAGTTGATGGATTTGATTCTTTTTTTTTTTTTTTCCCTTCTGGGAAGGTAAATGGTTGAGATGGAAGAGACGGAGGGGGGAGAATTTGCTTTTATCAGCTGTCTATTTCGACAGGCGTTCTCTCATGTAATCTTCCCAGTAACCCTGATACTTAAATGTTATAATTCCATTTTAAAGATGCAAGAACTGATGGTAGAGTGTTTAGGATCCTTCCTCAGGAATTTAAAAGAGGACGTTTGGTTCTGTTTTCTGGTTTTTCCCATCACGCTGTGCCAGCCATTCAGCCCTCCGTTCTGGCGCCCTTGTCGTGGCCGGTCCCGCCCTCTTCATTTTCTTAGCTTTCTGGCAAAACCTGGTATCTGGCATTTATACATCAGTATCAAATGAGGTCAGTGTTAACGTTTGTTTGTTTTTTGTTTTGTTTTGTTTTTTTTTTGGAGGGAGGGGACGTTTTGCGTTTTCAGCATAAGTCTGATTGGGAAATGACATACTTTATTCCCTTATACTAACTGTACACAGAAGGTAGCAAAATAAACAGTAAACGTGGGAGTTTGATGAGAGAGAGGCGCCTTCTGAGCAACGCGCCCAGCCGTACAGTACAGCTTCCAGCCTGTCAGTAAGGCTGGCCCTGCCTTCTCCATTTCCCAGGCTGGCTAAAGAATTTTGGGGGAATAGGAACAGATGCAGGCACACAGTCTCCCCTGATAATAGTTTATTCATTGACTACTTCTGGAGCACCTACTATGTGCTTCGGAACAAGGGGTAACAAAGTAACTAAAATACCTGTTACCCTAAAGGTATTTGCCACTGAAGGCGCAAAGGCAGACATATTAAGCATAATTACAGTAAAGTATGGTAAGTGCCGTGCTAGAAGTGTGTCAATGGAGGCAGAGACGAAGAGTGACGGAGCCCACTGGGCAGTCACGGGGAGGAGAGTGGGAGGCTGCGTCCTAGAGAGGTTCATGCAGGAAATGACTTTTGAAGCATGTGGTTGGCCTCGCTCATGCCACCACCCCTCTGGCATGAGCTCCGGTGCTGTAAGAATCATTCCCTGAGGAGGGTAGGGCAGGTGTTAAAGAGGGAAACCCAGGTGGGAAGAAGTTCAATGACTTGCCCGGGGTCAACAAAGCAGGAAGAGGTAGAAATTAGACTCACGCTCAAGTGTCCTGACGCCAAGTTTAGTGTTCTTTCCATGACACCAACTTTCTTTCCTCTGCTGGTTCAGCAACTGGCAGGGCCACGTAGCTGAGAACATAGTTGTTAGTGTGTGGCATCAGGTGACATCTTGATTATTTTTTCCAGTTGAATCTGGTTGCCAAGGTTCTTTCTCTCTTCTGAACCCAGGCAGCAAATGCACTATCTCAAATGGAAAAGAGAGCCCTGAAATGAAAGGATTCCAGAAAACCACAGGTGTCGAATAATAAAATCTCAGCTGTATAGTTTCATCCCAAAATTTCTGATACACATACAGGTACCAATAAATATTTAAAATCAGCAACACTATTTTGCCTTGGGTGTTACATAATTGTATATTTTACAAATTTGATTTTAGTCAACGAAATGCAATCATATTTCAGACACTCCGAAATTCTTTACATTCATAATAACCCCCCAACCCCACATTTTTAATACCAGCTAAAGCCACTGTCAATTCACTAAGGAGTCACATGTAAATTTTTCCAGCCACCTGTCTCTCCAAAACCTTTCCCAAGGCCATTAACCCTAACATGTGCCAAACAAAATTCATTATATTGTTACCATAGTCTTTATTTGTGTCTCTTGAGCATCCTATCATTAGCCTAGTTGCATAAGCCAGACACTAAAGTCTGTTGATGCCAGTTCCTTGCCAAGTATCCCCCCAAGCTTCCTCCCCACCTCACTCCTACAATTCTGCTTCAGGCCACCATTCTTTGCCACCTGACACTGCAGTGGACCTTAACTGTATTCCAGAAATAAGGAGTATTTTCCCCACACTAATCCACCCTTCTTAGCAAACAGAATTGTCCAGCCAGCTTATACAAAACCAGAAACCTCTTCTTATTCTCATTCAATATTCAAATCTTTCTGAAAGACTGGGACATTTCCCTGTGTCAGTTAAGTAAAACACCTTGAAAATCAATGGTTTTGGCAATTGAAGCTTTTATCATGTCTCAAGGCCATCATTCTGAACATTGGTGATTATTACGCACTATCAATGTTATAGTCAGCATGGCGTTTGGCTTAAATGGTTGTGTCATTCTCTTTACGTTCAGTTTTAAAATAAACTATTCTTACATCCGTGGTCCTTAACCATTCAGGAGTCATGAACCGTTCTGAGAATGTGATGAAAGTTATGTCTTCTCTTGAGAACAGTGCGCATGTACACACACACACACACACACACACACACATACACATACACATATTTTGCCCACAACTTCAACTCTTTCTAAATTCATCTGTGGATCCCTAGCACTATCATGAAATCTAGGTTGAGGACCCCTGCGGTATATAAAATTGTTTTCATCCTTTGATGTCAGAGGCCTGGCATAAGTTTCTACTTGAAAGAATTGTTCCAATGCAATTGATCCTAGTTTCTATGATTACCGGGAATGCTGTCCCACAGTTTGAGCCATGTCTTTTGAGTAGGGACTAGAACACGGCAATTGATGTGCGGTCATCCTGACTCTTAAGTAGCTGCTGGACTTTGGGAGATCCTATAACTAGTAAGATGTAGCAGAAGTCAACTTAGACTTTCGGCCAAGGAACCAGAATTCTTGTCTTCATATGCCCTACTAACTTCGTACAACTTGTTATTATAGAAACACAGCTTTGGTGTAAAATGAGACACATCTACTATGATAGTATTTTGTTGTATTGGTGTAGAGTGCTTTCACTTCTCCATTGCATTTCTCCTAACAAAGGCCTGGTAAGAAGGTCAATGAGTTGTAAGTCTTTGATGCATAAGGATAAAGAAGGAAAAGCAACGCAGAGAGCGGCTTTCTCAAAGTTAGTTATTAATACATCAGGAAATAGGTAAAAAGTGCCTTCATTGTAGACCTGGACTGTTCAACTAACTTCATGATTTAATTCAAGCTATGCGTGAGCCTAAGGCATCCAGACAAAAATGGTTGGATCCATTCATATCAAAAGTGTCTATAACAATCTGTGCGAGGAAGAAAGTAAGATATAGGCAAGCTTGAATGCTGACTAATAACGTTTGGCTGATGTGGTATCCTACTGGTACACTCGGTTATTGATCATTTTATCTCCTATAAATGGAGCCATCTTGGAGAAGGTAAATATGAACCTATTTTTGTGCATGGACTTTTTTCTGAGCTACCCTTAACTATGCTCAGGAATTAGAAATATGATCTTAGTTCCCTTTGCCCGAAGTCCCCAGCATATTTTTTGTGTCCTCCAAAAAACAACAGCAAAACAAACAAGTAAACAAAGCCCCCTAATAAACAGTCTTACTAGGCTGAACCCTTTCTCTTTTATTCTTTTTTCTCTCCTTCTCTCTCACATCCTGTTTCAAACTTGTAGAAGCTTTGAGCTGAAGGAAACTTGGACATTGGCTAAATATCTCCTCATATGAGAAGGAGACTGAGGTCCAGAATGACTAAGTAATTTGCCAGAAGACACACACTGCTGCTCAGTAGCAAACCCAAGATAAGATCACAGGTCTCCTGACTTGTTTTCCCATCTTTTTAAGCAGAACAATTGATTTCTTAACACTCAGAAAATTCAAAATATAGCAGAGAAAGTCATAATGAGTAAGTTTACAATTGCTTTCCCAAAACTACAGTTATATATGTGTCCACCACCCCTGCCCCTGCCACATTCTCATCAAATTCTATGTCATTGAAATCTGCATCTTCAGTTGAATAATTCACCTGTACTTTTACTTGGTTGTTTTCTAGGGTCTGTCCAAAATATGGAGAAACAAGCTTGCAATTTTTCCAGTTAAAAGGATAAAGCTTGTGCTACATAGATCTTACATTTTCTGTCAAATTGGAAATTGGCATCCTCGCTCTCCGAAGGGCGGTTTTGTTTCAATTCCTGCATCAGAAACTTTGATGAGAGCCAGTGTTGGACTTGGCACCAGGTCAGGCAAATCGGAAGAGTCAGGGGAAAACTCCTAATCCTGTCAGAAAGGAACTGGGAAGTGAAGAGGAAATGAAGGAAAAATAAACCCAGGAACAGTTAAAGAATAGTGGTGTCATATATACAAGCGAACGATGTGGAACAGAGTTAGACAACGATCAGTGCACCCAAGAATGGTCAATGGAAATAGTAAATGGCGTTGTGGGCACAGTGGGAGTTGAACTTTAGGCCTTGACCATGCATAGAATTTGAAAAGCAAGGAGAAAGAAGAGGGTGTTGAGTGCTTGGGCACTGACGTTGGAGTAGGAGTTAACACAGGGTGTGAGATGGGCATTGGGTGACCAGCCTGACTGGGTCATGCATGCAGGGTTCCAGTAGTTGGAAAGAACGTCGACTAGGCAAGTAAGTAGGCAGAGAGCTTAGTAGAGACGACTCAGGGCACTTTAATTTGAATCTCAGCTGTGTAATTTTGGGCCAATTACTTGACTTCTCTCTGTCTCCATTTCCTTGGATAACATGGGAATACCAATAATCTCTCTCGCATGGTGTTGAGGAGGTCTAATTCGATTTACAAGTCCTAAGCACAAGCACAGGTTAGAATAGTGCCTTCTATGTGCTCCATCCACCTTAGTAAGCATTTTTACGCCCTTTGGTTTGGGCTGGGAAGTTATACGGAACATGCTACAACAGTATCAACTATTATATTTAGGGTGAGGCCAGAAAATAAAGACTTGAAAGTAGCCTGAGGAGCTTGAACTTGAATAAACAACAAAGGGTGGTTCTTAGGCAGAATTGAATTTAGAGATTCTGGGCTTAGAAAGGATCTATTCAAACCTCCAGGGATTTTTGAATACCCTGCCTCTACCCTTTACTGGTTGCTCAGACATCTCACCCCTGGGGAAGGAAACCACACGGCCGCCTGCACTGGTATGTGGACTGGTGACAAATAGCATGGGAGGCATTTGTCCGGAAAACAACAACCACCAAAAAAATGGATGTCAAGGGACTAAAATGAGTCAAATTTTTATGGCTCTTTCTCTTTGCAGTGGCTCTTTAAGGGTGCAGTTCTGAGGTTAATAAGTAAAAAAGCCAGAGAACCAGGTGAGTGGATTGAATATTAACTAGCCCCTCCTGGATAGTTACCGACAAGTTATCAGCGGTGCCTCAAGGATGCCTCCTCCAGCTCTGAGTAGGCCCTTGTCTTCTTCAGAATCATCTTTGACACAGATAACCTCTAAGCACTGGCAAGACTGCGCCAATTCATCCTTCTGGCTCCCCAAGGAGACTGATAAGCCGGGCCAGAGACCTGGTTCAATTGCTAAGGGTGGCGAGGCGGCGTTCAAGTTTCAGAACCTGTCTACCAGTCAATAATTCTGAGACCCTCTTAGGTGTAAGTCGGTGGGGCTGTTCTCCTATTCTGATCGTCTGGTCTTTGCACAATTCCCAGGTCTTTCCCATGGAATTTTCTAGGGATTCTTGGCCTGTGACTCTCAAGGGAGATCTAACCAGTTACTTGCTCTTTTCATTAAACTTAGCCAGCTTCTCAACTAGGTAAACTATTTTTAAACCTCCGGCAGCTGCCGTGGATCTTGGATGAGTTCAAAAGTCTTTGCTTTTCAGATTCAACACTCTCCTCCATGCTTTATTTATTGTTTTTGCAGCCTTGGCGTCTGCTGTCATCTTTCAGGAATTTGGAATCAGTAGAACAGTGACTTTACCAATACATGATGGTGACCAAGGTCAACAAGAGACTTGGGGGGGGGGGGAATTCCTAGACCCATTCTGTTGCTCCTAACAGGGAATGAGTGATAAAGCAGGGCAAAATATTTGGCAAACCCTGGCCCTGGATATTTATATTTCAGGAATATATGCATGGTGATTGAGATACGCAATATCACGATGAATAGGAGAGGCATACAACACACTAAGCAAAGTACAATTAACACAAACTAAATATTATAAAAAGACATGATTTCTGCTTTACCTGTCCTATCATCACACCATCTAAAATACATTTTCATGTTTGCAGAAATACATGCTAAGGGTTACACTGGAGACCATGCCTACTGATTCTAGAGAACATAAATTATAAAGAAATGACACATACAGGGATTAGCCAGCACTGATAGCTTTGTGTTTAAAACAAAAACAACAACAACAACAAAAATAAAACTTTCCTGGCTATTGTAGAATTCCAATAAAAGCTGGTTATCCTTTCTGCCCTTTCAAACTCCCCTAGTGGGTGAGATGCCAGGAGCCCCCCCACTCCCAACCCCCCCAATTTCCTAATGTGTCTGTAGAGCCCCTCAAATAAGAGCTTGGGCTCTCTCTCTCTCTCTCTCTCTCTCTCTCTCTCTCTCTCCTGCCCCCTCCCCATTTTTAAAAGGCGTTAAAGAGCATCTCTTGGAGACAAAAATAGCTCAGTTCTGCGAGGCCTATACAGTGGAAGGCAGCTGAGAGGTGCAAGTCAGCGAGGGCCAGCCGTGAACATGAGTGCCTGGCCCTGGGCGGATGCTCCTTGCTGCCTTGGTGCCGATTCTCTGCCTGGGCCCGGTGGGTAGAAGGAAAACCGTTTTTTTTTCCGGGGGTGGGAGGTGGGCCGGGTAGGTTTGGGGTCCCGGAGTCAAAGGGATGGAAACCCCGCCATTCGGGACTGAGGGGCTGGCTTTTCTGTCCCCTCCCCCCATGTTTTTAAAATTTATTTTGCCCAGGCGGGGACTGGCGACGGTCAAAAGGGAGCAGTTGGCACTGAATGTCACCCTGAAGGTAAAATGAAAGACAAAAGATGAACGCATGCTTGCTTTCCGTTTGCAGCGGCTGCGGCGGCAGCCGTGGGAGCAGCAGGATTTAAAGGGGAAAAAAACCCACACGCACAGACACACAGAGATACACACCCAGAGGCGCCAATTATGCAAACGCAATAATGCAATCACATCATGACAGTGCCTGGAATTTTTTTTAAAAAAAATATATCGATATTTATTTATTTTTTTAAAAAAAAGAGGGGAGAGAGAGAGAGAGAGAGAGGAAAAAACGCATGCAAACAGAAACGTGCACATACCACGTAACCACCCGAGGAGAACCTGGCAGCCTCTCTCTTCTTCTGCCAAGTTATCATTGAGAAAACAGACAGGCATCATGACGTCCTGGGTCACAGGGAGTGCGGACCGACGCTACCAAGAGAAAAGGGAGGCGCCTGGGCGCTCCGGCTAGCCGCGGGCGCCCCTCTGCCCCTCGCCGCCCGGCTCGGTGAGTGCACAGCCGCTCGGGACGCGGACCCCGGGGGCCAGGCCGGCCCCGCGCCCGCGGGGGCCGAGCGGGTGGCGGTGCCCTTGCCACCGGCGGGCCGGCCAGCACCCCCTCGCTGGCTGAGGTCGCGGGAACCCAGTGAAAGGAGGCGTGTATAAGATGTGCAATGTTCCTGCATGGGGGTTTGGTAGACTTTTCTAGCCAAAGAAACCGGCTCGGGCTTCTTAAAAAACCCCCGACGACTCACCCGATTACCCTGCTGCAGTTGTGACCCTGCCAAGGTAACTGGTCCAAATCCCTTATCATCAACATCTGGAGACAGACATTTGCATCTGGGGCGTTCTTGATTTGCAGTCCTGGTTGAAACCTCTATTGCCACCCCCCTCCCCTTCCCCCTTCACTTGTTTGGAGTCTCTTGGAAAAAGAAAAGAAAAAAAAAAAAAAAAGCAACCCCTCCCTCAATAACACAGCCCATAAGTACTGTCCACCTCTTGTAGACGTGCCTTGCCATGACTGCAAAACTGTCAGTGTGTGTGCTAGAGACACAGATAAATTCTAATTGCAAGGAGATTTGTTATTTAAACACCTCTCCCATCCCCCCTTCCTGGATAGAGATTTCAGTGCTTGGTAAAGTGGCCAGGAGTGAGGGCAGAGTGAGGGCACCCGGACTGGGAGGGATGGGGGTGAGTCCTCCGGTCTTCTGGGGAGAGGGGTTGGGGGGAGGGGTCGTGGGGCGGGCCGGGGAGGGTGGCCTCAGGAGTTAGGACTGCTGTCAGGGGCTGAAACATCCTTACGGCAAATTGCTGAGCCGCTGTCGTCCTAGGTGCCTCCCTCCTGTCCTCTATGCCTCATTCACTCCCGGTTCTCCAACCCGTTCGTCTCTGAAGTTGCACGGAGGTCACCCGACCATCATTTTAAGTATTTCAAACCACCTACCCCCTGCTACCCCTCAAGCCTGTCAGAAGCGTGTGCAGGATAGAGCCCCCCTCCCCACCTCCCCCACTCATGTTTGGTGATGGAAGGTTCTCAGAGAAAGACACAGAGGGCAAAGCGCCCCTCCTCCCCCTTCTCGTCCCTTCCAGCAACCTTTTCCTGGCTGCACCCCCCCCCCCACACACTCTTTCAGAATCTTAATGAGCAATTCTGGAAGAGTCCGGAAGGGCCTGGAGAAACCCTCGCATGCACAGTGCTGTGGAATGGCTATGTATGTGTTTATTTATTGTGCTCGCTTCTGGTGTGTTGTGAATTGCCACATGGGTCTGTTTAAGCTGGGGACGCACGTTAGTTCTGTTTGTGTTGTGGCAGCAGAACCAGTGACCATCCAAGAAGGCACAGGTACACACAGAAAGCAAGGGGTTTTGCTAACATAAAGTAGAGGGCAATGTTGAAAATATCACCTTCTCTCTCTCTCTGTGGGGGATGGGGAAAGGAGAGAGAGAGAGAGAGAGAGAGAGAGAGAGAGAGAGGAGAGATGAGAGATGAGTTAAGAGAAGTTATTAGGTCCACAGATAACCTCCTACTACTTTCAAAACACGACTGCTTCATACTTTAAGTCAAGACCCAGAGACCTGCAGATGTTTTGAAGTGTTTCAGAGCAGCTCAATGACTTGGTCTGGTTTTGAAGAGAAACGGTCTTTTGTTTCTCAGGCTTCCCAAGAGCAAATAGGGGCGTGTGTTGGGAAGATGCCCAAATTTAGAAGCAGCAGGCCAGAGGAGGAGGCAGGGGAAGGAGGGTGGCAGAGCACTGTCAGGGTTCTTTTCTCTTATTTTTTTCTGTCCAGTAGATTTGATGTTATCAACATGAGTTAACCAACCTGAGAAACAGTTCAGTCATTGTAGAAAAGGGAGGGAAATTTGAACGATTCTCCAATCTGAGCTGAGGAAGAGCTAACAGAGGGAAGGTACCTGGACACCTTGATGTAGTTGGAGTGACATGGATCGGGCCTCTTTTCCGTCAAATATGAAAATACTCAAGTATGTCATGAAACAGGCCTCGACGATCTTTCCGACGTACGTGTGTTATGCGTGGCTTTGCGATTGTTGCGGACTCAATCCTCATGACCCTTTAAGCTCATGTTGCTTAGAATTGGAAGTGTGTGTGTTGAGAGTGGTGTCCCAGAGCCCATCAAACTGCCCACTGACCGGGGTGATGAACATAGATAAAAGGTCATGTACTTTCTTTAAGAAATCAACTCGGCGTTGAAATCGTCAGGCCTGCTGTGTGCAGAAACCTGCTTCTCTCCTTTAGTGGGAATTGCAAGGGGAGCAAAGGGACTCTGTGATGGGTGATGCTTTTACAAACTACAGCAGATCAATCTATTAGGCGCCCATGTGTGCTCCGCTCAATGTATTCTGCACAATTTTTCCAGAAATTAAAAGGTTAGCAAGAGAGCACCATGTTCCCCTTTCCAAGGGAGCACCAGTTATGACTGCACCAGTATTTCAGTATTAAGTGATCGTCAAGATAGTTCATCTTTCATTTTGAGTTCTGAATTTGAATCAGCGTGAGAATGGCAGGGCCGCAAGATAAGGTACAAGTAACTACGCAGACAGCGGCAAGGGGCTGGTAAGGAAAGCGTTGTGTTTCTCAGTAACCTTGTTTACAGGGACCTTTCGGTTGCAGCTAGAATTTTAGCAAAAGCCTGCCAGAGGTAATGGGCTTATGTTTGAAATTGATCCTAAGTGTCTCTTTTTCTCCTTCACAGACATGATCTGTACCTTAGCTGAACACTCAAGGCAGAACTTTCCTGAGGCCCCATGACATTTTCAAATCTAGACAAATCCCCAGATTAGTGTCACCGGAATGGGGGTTATTTATGAGGTTCTCCTTTTGTTTACAGAAGTGTCAATACAAGGAACGTCTGTCCTCTTTATTATTATTATTTTTAATGTCTTGAGTGCTTGGCTGTGTTAAACGCAAAACAAATTATATCTGAGGAAGTTGAAGTATGCCTTACAGATTGACCCATGAAATTGCTTTCAATTAGACATGGAAGATCTCATTATCCCAGCGAGGGGAATTTATGATATAACGTAGGAATTTTGTATTTGTTTCAAAATTGCTGGAAAACTGCGGAAACAGGAAGATTTTTGAGGGAAATGCCAAAAGCCACATTAATGAAGAAAAAAAACCCAAAACCACTGGTGAGCTACTTTTGAATAATAGATAGGCGACGTGATGGTCAACCGCAAGATAAAAATTTTACAGGATTTTTATGGCTTTAAATTGGCTGCATTGTAAACGAAGCTTACTACTCTATTAAGTCATTTATACTTTTCAATTATTTAACATCTCTGGCCAACCTATCTTTTGTGGTCTTTTTCTGTACACATCAGAAATACGCAAGATAGTAAGTGCTTGTTGTTAGTGCGGAGACTTTGTAATGGAGCAAGGTTTAATTTTAACTTCTTGGGACAAATTATTACAAAGAACGCACAGAGGAAAAAGAATGTTAGGGAAACAGCGCGAGCCCTATGAAGTGGAGTTAGCTACAACATCCAAAGTATGTAATATAATATGAATCACTGTCACTAAGAACCCTTGACAGTATCTGTATTCTAGGGACTGTACATTTGAAAATACGATATCTCCATTTAAATGCAGATCTTCAGGAATCAGCTTTCTCCAGGAAGCTGTTGGTGAACCTTCCAGCTGAACCACTGGTATGAGAAAACCCACTGAAAATTTCCCCACGAACATTAGAATCTGTCGTTTTGAAGTAATGATGACCACGTTTTGCAATGGTGTGATTTTTTTTTCATGCACTTAAACTATCTTTTATAAAGTCAAAATAATGTGCTGGGGCTCTTGTGCAAACAAAGACATTTTCTCTTGTCACTTTGCTGTTAGTTTTTTAAAGCTGTGAAAGAATTCGGCTCTGCAAGCCAGTTTTTAGTTAGCATTGCAACGCCAGTCGAGTCCTCAGGAATCAGAATCTGAGTGCTCTTCACCCCTTCATGCTGGCAGATGGGAGGGCTTAAGGATCTTTCTCTGGAACCGTCTTCTTTGGACTGTTTTGAACCTAATTAATACAAGTGCTCTGTCTTGGAATCAATGGTGGTGGTGGCCAGAAAGGACAGCCAGAGCGAGTGGGTCCTTCCTTAAGAGAAGACTGCAGAACGAAATGCAGTCTTTGGGAATAGAATGGAGACACAGAGCCTGATGGTGTCCAACCTCCAAAGTCAGGCAGCTGGAAAAAATCTCTGCACATCTTCAAACACAAATTCCTGAGGTACACACTGGGATAATGTTCAGACTCTCGTGTGTCTTTATCACATCGCTAGGGAAATCTTATTTTTCTTGGAGATTAGACACCATTCATTTATTCAGCCTTTGAGGATTTCCAACTGTGAAAGGCCACTCCCCCTTAGTTCTTACACTTAGTTTACTAGGTGTAAGTCCCAGCCCCCACACTCCCTCTGACACGTACAGACATGTAATACTGTGTTTATACCACTGTGCTTGATAATTCCAGTAGTTGTGAAGGTGAATCATTGGTAGTTTTCAATTGGCCTCTGTTTCTGTTTCTATGATGAAGGCTACTCTGTTCATTTAAACAAGGGGACGATCATAGTTACCACCAAAGAGGGTTGAATGTGTTTGGAATACCTGTGAAGATATTTTATCTACTTGTGGACACTGGTGGCTATTTCAGGTGTTACGTCTGCTAAAATAAATAACCTGTATAGTACTCTATAAAGGGCGCTACCTAAGGAACGAGTTTATTTCACTTCCCTTATACATATGCATGTTTTTTAGCTTGGCAGGTACGCGTATCTGACATAGCAACTTCTTATTGTTTTGAAGATTTCATTTCAGAAAGCTAACTTTATATGAAGCATGGCAAAACTTTTGTACTCTTATTGTGATAGATATTTATGTGGTAAGATAAACAGTGTTTTCAGATACCTCTGTTACCAGAGCGGCTCATTTAAATTTGATCTCTCTCTAAGATATATTCGATTAATAAGGCAGATTTTTATGGCCAATATAATTTATATTCACGAGTACTTATTTTTATTAACACAATTATAGATTGTGAAGCAAATTTCCATATATGTTAAATGCTAAGAACCAGAATAACTAACATTTGTATAGTGTGTTATAGTTAATAATCATATATTGTCTATAAGCTCTTCTTTGGAAGAATATATATTGCACTTCCATGCTCAAGAAAGCAATCAGTTTTTAAATGTAATCATTACTTGAAAATAGATTATTTTATCAGTTTCCTCCCTCCCTCTTTCTCTTTTTTCCCTACCTTCCTTTTTTCTTCTTTCCTCTTTTAATGGGGAAAAATCTACTGACGTGTTTTTTGTTTTTTGGTGGAGCGTGTATAATTGCCTATCACACATTTCTATTAAAAAAGGAGCTATAGCAAGCAATCCAACGTAATTTTTGGAATATATCTTCTGCCTACCAGTGTTCTTGAGGAAATGTGAGGTTGCAGGAGTCATTTCATGCCCTGTATGTTTTCAAACATAAATCAGAAAAATTGTTAGCGAGTTATAGCTCTTCTTAGAGACTGTGGTTATAGTGCTATAGTAAACACAGGCTATATATTTTTCCAAGTTATTATGTGTGGAGAGAAATCCAAAGTTGGCTATTTAGAGGAATGGTTTAATTTAGTTATCAGAAATTCATTTTCTATCTAGTCTGAGCATTTATTTTTCAAAGGTTGCAGAAATGGGACATAATGCCTGATGACCCTTTAGATCAATCACCTTCAGAGTTAGAAATGTGCTCTTCTTAGCTAATGTGTATACTACTGAACATCGGCCTTCAGCTAAGGATCAGTCGAAATGGTCCTAGACAGAGTTGATGGTATAATCTGTTTACCATCTTCATCAGAGAGCAGTGAACCTTTGTTTC